ATTGCTCTAAGCAGCATGAAAAAAGGGTTACAATTCGATAGATCAATAGTCAAGTAGTTGAAATTGTAGAGAATACCGAAGATATAATGCTAAAATGTTGGTTACTCCTAAATCATGACTAATCTTCATTTTCTCATGTCTTGATTGGCTAAGGCAATTATTGTACCTTTCTGTATTACTTTCAGTAATTTTCGTAAATTTTTGTTAAAATTACAATAATCTAGTGTTTTTCCTTAGTTAGTATTCGAAGTGGCTACTAGTTAAAGCAATGTCGGGTTTTTTTTTCATCCACTATTAATATTACAATATACAAGTCCTAAAGCACTAAATCTGCATTCTTCCACTTACGATATACTGTACTTACATAAAATAATTTAACTGTAAGCGTTTTGCACTGAAAATGTCAAAAGCTGGGTCTGAAACTTAGCGAGGAAGCTTGAGTCCAATTTTGCGTCGTGGTAGCAAATAAGTGAGACTGACTCTTTCTAACGATTGGTAGTTATAGCTTTCGCAATATATTTTACTGATTGGACATTCTTAAACAAGTCGTATCGGAAGGCCATCTCCTATAAAAACAGAATTCCCTTGGGACCAGCGAGATACAGAGAAAAGACTTGTGGGGAAGGCGATTGTCTGCGAGATGCTTAGCTTTCAAAGTATTGTCCTACTACGGTAATACTGTTTTAATAAGGGAAAACCTAGTATCGTTTAATTTAAAACTAAAAATAAGTTACGGATTTTTAAACTTGAAGGCCTACTACAATGTTTTTGCCGTATCTCCAAGCCAGTGCTGTTATAGACCATAATATATCATGATGTGTAAGCATGCCTAAAATTACTTAGATTAAATTCATTATTATATTCTTTGAACCTAACTTTATAACAAGTAGAATTTTTGACCACAATTCTCTCGTGGGATTATCATATCCCTGTTTGAGTATTTTTTTAACATCAATACTATTTGAAGCAAATCTGAAGATTGTTGCTCAAGACCGATTCAATTGTAAACAAAATGTCAATAATAATTAATATTCTCCACTTTGGATATCTCTAGGGATTACGAAACTGTCAAGATAGCTAATTATGTGACCAATAATAATCTCTTACAGTGATTTAGCATGAAAATAATGACAGTGAAATATTATAAATAGTAACAATCGCTATCTCTACAGAGGTCATTGAAGTTCTTCAGAAGAGGTTCTGCTAAACCTTAAGTATCATGCTAAGCTATACTAAATCTAGTCTTATTATCAAAATTTATGATGTCTGATCAATTTTTGCATCCATGTTATTAATAATTAACAGTAACACTATTTTATCATTAGTCTCTAGATGAGCGTTTTGTTACTGTACCTTTACTGATTTTGCAAGTATTTTTTATTTAGTAAATGTAATTGGAAACCATAAACACTTAGGTATTATGTCTAAAAACATTCATTCTGCAGAATTACAGTACATGACAGGGCCACATCTACGAATATATCCGGAAATGAATAATTCATATCGGATTATTTGTCACAGTAAGCCTTCTTTCATTACTAGTGGTGGTCACCATGTAACGTCTAAATCTTAAATGCTGTGGTGGAGTTCTATATAGAATTATATCTCAAATTTCCAAAGTTTGCAGAAAATTACCAATTTTTAAATCTCCATTAGAGGGTTCCGCTATTAATAGTAATAGTGGTGTTGAATAGAACTACTATTGAAAAGACCTTTGACAGAACTAATAAATCATTTAAGTGCAACATTTGGTAACAGTCAACTTTACTTCTTATCATTTTTCCGAGCTCTTCTTCAAATAATTCAGTAAGTATTGCAGTATTTTATACTGAAAAAGATTTTAAAGAATTAACTATTAAGCTATCAATCAAGTAATGAAATAATTGATATCGGCGTATTTATTTACTAATTTCAAAAGCTACTAGGAATTTTATTATAATCTCTAAAATAAAGGTTCCAATCAGCGAATGTGTAAAGTATAATGTATTCGTTAGATAAGCAGTATATAAATTACCATAGTAGGCTTGGTATACTTACCTAATGAATTTATCATCAACATCAAGATTATTTTCTCTTAACGCAAAGAAAATTTTCTAGTAAACTTGTGGTAAGTATTATGTGATGTAGAATAATCCTCTGTGGTGAATAAAGCAGTTGTAAATTGTGGCTAATAATGGCAAAGAAACCATCGGAAATATATTGACCACGATGGGTATTTGCTAGTATAGTCACTAAAAATATCTACGATACATAACCTACTACAGCATTAAATTTACACTTAGTATACCAGACAACATACTATCAAGGAACTACGCTTTCGATGAGGGTTTCTAGCCAACCGCAGTATTGGTGTTCCATGCAATGATATTCTAAGTCTGCAGGCTACTAGGAATTTTAATACTACAGAAATATCACGAATAATGACGAAAGGAATTCGAAATTGGGCTATCAAGTGTTCTTAATCGACGCAAATATTATTTCTGCTGTGCTCAATCGTAAGCAAAAAGTAACGGGTTTTATGATTATATTTCCTATTGCAAACTCACATCATTATTTTCGAATGTATTGTTATTGATTCTGAGTAATGGAAATAAAATTTCTTAATTGTCATGCTAATAATATATTATAAGTTCATATAATGAAGTGTTGAATAGTAATTCTTGCAAGTAGCGCCTCTTTAAACTAGTGTAATTCTATGTTAGATCTATAAAGATCCAACTGATGTACATGCACTAATATCTGACCATTGTCCTAAATATTTTCCATCTAAGTTTACCACGGGCTCCATTATTTATTCATTCATCTCTAGAAAATTTCAAACTGGTAGTCTTCCGGACTGCTAAAACTGCAAAGCTATTTTCCAATTCTGGTATGATTAATAAATTAGTTTAGTAAAATTAGTAACTTACACTGTGAGATAGGATTTTGCTTTGATGTTTTCAAGTTGCGAAAAAAATATACTAGCTAAATTACAAAACTTAAGCAGACAATCTGTCTTGAATTGCTAAGTAACTTTAAAAGATTCTCATTGACTGTGATGCTTCGGAAGAATATGTGTTTATCATGATTACAAAAAATTCTGAGAGAAATAAATTAGTAAATAGTAGTCTTTATTGTAGCTAGTATGAGATGGATAACCATGTACATTTACAGCGTGATATATTAGCGAGAACTAGTCGAATAATTATAGTAAAGTAGCATAGGTAACGCGCGCAAGCTTACCTTGTAACTAGTAGAACTAACTTAACGAAATAGATGCTTGAAATAGCTTTTATGATGTAGGAAACACAGCAGGAGGAAATTCTTTACAAATGCGGCTGAGTAATAAGAATACGCGCATCTTACTTCTAGTTAGTGTAGTTCTGCAATATAATCCAACCCAATCCAACAGAGGATAACGAGATTTCCACAGTGTAAATTGTTAACTACAGATAATACATAGCATATTTTGAGTTATACTACAGTGCAGTGAATATTAACTTTTACTCTACCAAAAATAAACTATACCGTATTTAAAAGTATACTCTACATAAATCACAAATCAACCAAACTACCAATTAATGAGATACCTCATGATTATCCCAGACTTTTGTTCTCTTCTCTATCTTCAACTTCACTAAACCATCGAACTACGCCACCTTTTGTGTGCTACGCAGTGCAGCTGGTGACATTAAACTATCCAATTATCGTTCTAAATTACTCCAAATTAAACTAGCAATCAAGCATACACATTAATTATATATTATACCCTAGATTACCGAAATTTCTAAATTAATATAATCGTAGTTTAACTTAAAATTATAGATTTTTACAGTATACGATAAGATAGAACAACAATCTTAATTAGAGCACATATCGAACATTCGGTTTCATACAGCATGAAATCATAAAATGACATTAACTTTTACTGTAATTGATGATCAAAATTAGCCACATATATATTCTATTACAACGTTTGAACTACAACCTCACAATATCTCATTGTAAAAAAAAATCATGCTGTCGATTATCTTAAATTCTTGCCCGAATAAAGCAGTCGGATTTACAATATACCAAGATACTAACTAAAATCTTCTGTTGTAATCAACCAAATAATCATATTTTTAATGCTAGAATAAGTACAATACAAGCACTTGAAGGAGAATTATAAAAATTAACCTTCATTAAATTATTAAAACTATTATTTCTGTTTTCTTTAACTCGATAGCGAAGTATGATTAGAAAACTGACCTACATGACCAGCATTTCTGCAATGGAACAAATTGCGATTACCTCAACGTTTGTAAATGAAAATTTTCACATCATTACACGTTCAAATTTATTATAGTCCAATTACTCTTACTACTTATGATGTCTGACCATAGAAATATCATCATGAAGCAATGGAAGCTTTCCGCGACCTTCGGTTTTAATCACAGTTACTTCTATATCCGAGACTAGACCTAAGTTCTTTACCCACCATAATTTCGAAAGTTCATGACAAATTCAAAAATTGATTCAGCTCTGTCAGCACTTTTTATAGGAAATAATGTTCCCTTGTAATTGTATTATGAAACATTTAATTATGATTAAAGCTTTCCAAGGGAATAACCGAATTAAAAACTTGAAAATCTACTACGAATCGCTAAAGATCCACAGAGATAAACCTACGTATTTAAGCTATAGATTTATTACAGCTGCAATAATGCAAAACCTCATTCTTTATGTCGTACTAGTCGAGTTTATTTAAAAATACAACATTGCTATCCATCTAATTTTGCCTAGCACTAACCTGAAACCAAGATAACACTTTTATAATTTATCAATTTCGCTCAAAATATTCAATCTCGTTCCCTCAGTGTATCTTACACTAGGCTATTTTAGAATAAATTTAGTTCTACATTTAATCCATTAATCACCGCTACAGAAAACCATCTGATATTAAACTATCGGACCTACATTTTATCCTATTTGCAACAGAATATTCATCGGCTTTATCACTACCTTGGAATATAGTCGAAATGGAAGAGACTGTCGTAGAAGATGAATATCCTTTTGTATTAGGTAAGGGCTTTAATTACTAATATGTTAGCTACACTAAAATTGCAATTTAATTGTTAATTTAAGAGCAGTTAAAAAACTTACAGGCAGTAAATTTTGTTTATAGTTTACAGTTTCTAGAGTCTCAAGCCAGTATATTATCAAGGTTTTCCAGCTGAAATGAGGGTTTCTGCAAATGTTTATAGTGCTTGTGTAGTATCTGTAAGATACATTCTAAAATCCTAGAATCACTTAACAGTGCTTTAATTTCTACAATTTTTTGGCTTAATGTAGCTTCTGAAGTGCAAACAGATTTCTTCACCTTTTGACCAATATAGATTTCAAGTACTTATTTAGCCTTTAGTAAAAATATATTGCGAGTATAAAAATTCAATTAATAGCTCTAGCAAATGTCACTTATTCGTATAAGTACTGTACAATCTATCTTTAAGACCCGTCTGAGAATCAGCTAAATAAGAAATTAAATCGCATTTTCTCCCATATATACTCAATATTTATTCATTCGTCATTTAATGACAACAAAAAATATAAAATTTCATCAGAATATTCTACTAAATGCAGACTGCATATTGATCTTCACTACATACCAAAATGTAATTGTACTGCTAAGGTAGATAAATATGAGACAACACATATATGGCTGTTTTAATTAACCGAATTTTTGAGATTGATTTCAGCAAATAAAATGGCCAGTAATGCCACTATTATTGTATTAAATTGATGTTATCTACTAACACGATAACTATTTTATAGAATGTGAGAAATATTACGAAATTATAGTAAAAAATATTGGTAGAAAATGGTTGGCTCTTGGTAATGAAGTATGCAAAGATCATGCAACATATTGCTATGAAGTTATGGATAGCTTTTACACTTTTGAGTCAAGAGCATCCTATATGTTGTATTACGGCAAAGTCGTGAACAAAACTTTTAAAGAGCTATTAGAAATTATGATCAAAATAGGCTGCCGGGATATTGCTGAACAATTACGTAAGATGTTTCACATCAAATTTTCAAAGATGCAAATAATTAAGTTATCTCTTCTTTAAGCTATTTGAAAAGGCTAGATCTTCTAAATGTCTACAGTCATTCCATTATGTACATTAGCATAAGTATTATGTTCACCTTATAGTTTGAAAAATAATTGACTTACTAATTTACTACAAGATAGAATCTCATTAATCTACAAATTGCATAGAATTATTATGAACTGAAATATCAAAACCTGTTGTAGATAAACCTCAAGCCTAATCTGTTATTATTCAATCCAAGTTGACCTTAGGGAAAAAGAGCAAAAACGCATTGGTAACCAAGGTGCGATCCAGATGTATTAGAAATACAGTTATAATTAAACCTTAACCCATTTATATCAGCTGTTTTTTTTAAATTTAGCGTTTATTTCATCTCAATTTTAACATGTACAATTTGCTATATTGCAAACAAATCATCTTAAAATTTAAAAAAATTACAATACTACTTTCTGTCAGAAAGTTTTGATATTAAAAATTACTATACCTATTGAAGGATTTGCGTTTTATCTAATTGCTATAGAATACTTATTGCAACACATACCCATAATCTCCAATCATCACAACGTTCTCTACAAAGAATTTACTAAGAATATTGGTAAACAATTGAAGAGAATTGATCAAGATGGAGGTCATATCTTAATACATGGAGGTGTTGGAAGTGGTAAAACTACGGCTGTCTGTCAATCTATTCAAAGAGCTATTGAGAATGAAGGCTGCTTTAAATTTTATAGCTGCTATTGGCTTCGAATTGGTACTGTGACTTATACTTATATTCAGAACATACTAATGCCAGATCCTTTAGGACACGAATAATTTCAATCCTTCTGTCGCACTTTAATTTCTAACTGAATAAAATTGAAATGGAGTTGGTAGTATTAGATTTCCTACCTAGTATATATTAATGTAACATAACAAACTAGATTTCTCGTTACTACGTTTAGCATTTATCCTATCA